CCCTGCACCTCAGCCAGCCCTGCACCTCAGCCAGCCCTGCACCTCAGCCATCCCTGCACCTCTGCCAGCCCTGCACTGCAGCCATCCCTGCACCTCAGCTAGCCCTGCACCTCAGCCAGCATTGCACCTTAGCCAGCCCTGCACTGCTGCCAGCCCTGCACTGCAGCCACTGCCTGCATTGCTGCCAGCCCTGCACTGCTGCCACTGCCTGCATTGCTGCCAGCCACCTCCCAGCTCTCAAACCTGGCTGCAGCACTTGTGCTCGCTGCTGGGATTTGCCAATATTTTACCCTTAAGTAAGTTACAAAGGATAATAGCAGTATTTTGAATAGGTGAGGTTTATGCAATTTTAAGTAAATACAAATTAAATTCTTCTTTCCTTATAAAGCCATCAGGACAGATCAGATTTGCCGTCCTCTCTCTCACAAGAGAACTTGAACTTTCTTATAAAAAAACCTGAAATACATACTTTGGCTATACTCCAAATCTGCATTTTCATTTTTCTCACATTTCAAAAGATCGGCAGCCTGTCCACAGAAAGTAGACAATTACCCCACAGAATAATTTTGTTAAATTAAATAAATTTTGTTTTGACCTTTCAATCAAAACCAAGTTAGAAATTTTTTTTCCCTTGTCCTGTCAGAAGGAGCCAATGCTGAGATCAGCTGTGGTACCAGTCTCACGTGAAGGTATCGCAATAAATCACGTATGCTGGACGGAAGCAGACACAGACCCTTCGATGCTGAACTGCAGCCTCTATTCCTTGTTATGATAACAAATAATATGTAACCATAAGAGGATGTGTTAGGAATATAACTATTCAGACAAGCAGAGATGCAATAGAATCTGAATATCAGACGTTAAATCAAAGTGTTGACGTATTCAAATATTATTGCCCTGATGGCCCATGTTATTGAACAACCATTGCTCTCACTGATAGCAGCATGTGTTTCTGATGAGCAGCAGTCCTAAACACAGTCATTTTAAGAGCTTAATATATTCAGGCTTGAAAATTTCTAACTATTTTCCTTTTACAGTGTTTAGAACTGTATCTAAACCACAAAAGTCTGCAATTACCTAAATACAGAGAAACATTAGAAACAACATGTTTTGAAAACAACAAAAAGTGCATTTATTTTTAAAGGATAGCAGCCAAAGTGAAGGAGCAGTTGGGAAAAATATTTTTGCCAACTCCTGCGTTTGCCTGCAGAGTGAGAAGTGTAATTGTTTGGAAAGATGCAAATGCAATTGAGTAGCTCCCACACCCTGAGGTGCTGGAGAGGTGGAAGACCCAGGGCTGGATAATCACTCACTTGAAAATTTCCTGTCTGAGAGGTGATAATGAGACTTTATTTGCCACACAAGCAAGTGCTAGTTAGAGTTGTGTGTATCCAAATGGCACACAACTGACTGTTCCACGTTGTATTTGTGCACAGAACAGCCTGCTTTGCACAGCACTCTGCTTTTCACCAAGGCAAGTGTATAATGAGGTAGATTTTGTTGACACAAACCTTGTACTCAGTAAAACCAAAGGAAACAGAATGCTGAGCTAGTGAAGATCCTGGTTTTCAATTTTAGTGGGTTTCGATCAGGATAACTTCAATCAGAAGATATGAGTAACACTATGAGGAATTAAAATAAGTGACCTTCTCTCTGACCTTTAATCTGATCTTTATTTCTCATAACTTCTTGTAAGAAACTCAGAGTATCATCAAGAAATGTCCCTAGCTTTATCATACAGTACAGTCCTTAGTCGTGTATGTGCAGAACTCTTCATGTCTTTCCCAAAGGCAGGTCCTTGGCTCCTTGATTCAGATTTAAGAAGGCGTGTTTCCTTTCCTCTCAGCAGGAAAGGCTTCTTCTCTCTGCTCATTACTGAACTCATTTATTCTTGAGTTGCAGTTGGGTATTCTTCAGAGGAATCTTCATTGAGACAAAAGGAGCTTTGTTTTGGTTTGGCTTATTGTATCTTCTTCCTATTGGACTAGAATTAAAATGCGTAACTCAACAGGTCCAGTGAGCTATTCAGTCACTCTTATTTTATTTAAGCTTCACTTTCTTTGTCCTTGCAATATTTCCCAAATGCTTTATGAGACTAAATGTTACTGGATCAGAAGAAACATATTGAATAAACTGAAACGTTGTGTGTAGAAATTGGGTCTGTGGAACTGATCCTTTCTCTCTCCTTACAGAGTGGTTAAGATTATAAAGTGCAAAAATACTTTCCTATGCTGTTGTCAATGGAAACTTTTCCACAATCTTGAAAATCTCTGTCTCATCTTTATATCTTTTGGCCTTCTTTCCAAAACCACTATTTTGTTGCTCTAGTTTCCCTTTGTCTCTGTACTTCATCACTTGAGTCCCAGCCACCATTTTATGGAAAGCTACAAAAGTAAAGGTGCAAAAACTGAGTTGCAATATATTGAACTGACACAGAGGAAAGAACCTGTTAACTGTCCTGGTCTGGTGTTCTAAGGCAGCATGTCCAATTTGAAACAGAAATGGTTCTGTAATTTCTTCAGCCAGTAGAACAGAAAAACAATTTCCATATCATCATCCCAATGAAATGTGGAGACTCAGACTGGCTTACCCACCCCTTTGCAGCCTTTAGCAAGAGAGCATTGTCAGTGACTGCAGCTGGCGTGTTTGTGTGAGCACTCACACAAGCGTGCTTTGCTGCCCTGGTGCATACCAGACAGAAATCCAGCCAAAGCCCACACTTCACACACAAACCACTGCCTTCTACTCCTCTAGAGGAGCACAGGACACATGGGACCCTGTGGGGGCTTTGATGCTGGAGTGATGACAATACAGGCCTAGTGTAAGCCATGTCCAGAGCATCAGCCACGATGATGCTTTGTCTTTGTCTGCCTTCTAAAGAGCTGTTCTCTCTCCTTGTGCTTGAGAGAAAGCAAGCATAAAAGACATTTTGCCGTATTCCCCAGGGACTGACAGAGCTCAGGGCTGCTGTCAGACGCCTCCAAAACTCCCAGAAAAGTCTGAATTGTGGCAGTCCATTTGAGCACTTGGGATTATTGATGTAATAAAACATCATGGAGGTCAGCAATGGATGCAAAGCTGTAAAAGTGTCTGTGCAATGCAGTTCAAAGCATCCTGAGAACAGGAAAGAACCTTCTGCTTAACCCTGTACACTTTATACTCACCTCACATCAGGGTGTCCCTATGAGCAATAAAAGCCAAACATTGTGCAGGCTAGAGACAGATACCTATGACTTTGGTAAGTAACTTTTGTTTAAACAAAGCATTCTCTATCAAATTATCTTTCCTTTTTCTCCTGAAAAGCGATCTCAGCATAGCATTGAGCCTACAGTTCCATCTTCCGTAGCAAAGCATATGAGCATCCTCCTAACTGTGTTGCTAATGTCTTTCTGTTAAGACTTGTACAGCATTTACGGAGTAATTCAAATGAAAATGTTCTGTGATTAATGAGTGACACTGTTAGTTTAATGGCATTTTTATTGCTGCGCTTTTAGTGTTTCTGCACAAAGATCAACCAAGGAAAAAGAAAGAAGCCTGTTTTGAAGATATCAATAGTACAAAAAAGTCTGATTCCCCTTCCCTAGAGGGACTGCTATAGTTCTGTTAGAGCTGGTGATGATTTCCTAGAACATCTTTCTCCCCTACACTGTGAGCTCACAGGCCACGGAAGTTCCACAAGCTCTAATGAGTGGTTATAATTCCAAGGACTGCATCCAGTGTTGATGCTGGTAGTTATGCAAGGCTGTAGTTTCACAAATGGCTTTAAACTGATCTTTAGATGAGTTACTGCCAAAGGAGGCAATCCCATCCTTCTCCCATCCCTGCCCTTACCACACGACTGAACACCTCCTCTCATGCCTGCAGTAACTCTTGACAAGCACACTGAGCTTGTCAGGGAGCAAATCTGATTCAAAAAAGGACCTTTTGTTTGTTCGCCTTCCAGTTAATTTGAGCTGGATCAGCTGATCAGTTCCTGATCCTGTTCACCACAGTGTCACAAAGGAAGTGGTTGAAAACATGCAACAATGTCGAAAGGAAAAAAGGGTAGCTCACACTTCAGTTAAGTTCAACAATAAAAACACAGTCCAAGCTACACCAATGACTAAATGTTTCCAGGTTACATGAATTCAGCCTTATAGATACAAAATGTGTGCACTACAATAACCATGGAGAGAGTTTTATACTGGATACAAGATGCACAGGGAGCCTATAAATGGCAAAATTATGTATTATGACCAAGCTCTCTGTTTTGTGCTGTTGTGATATGAAACTGTCTCCACCCATCCTTAGCAAAGATCGTCAGTACATCAAATGCAGACGTCCATCACTCTTAGTATTTAGTGGAGAAGAATTCACATATCATCTCAGAAATGCATGTTAGTTTACTCATATACTCCAGTATTAAAAAAAACCTGACCAAGATTGCAGGTGCAGACAGTAAATCCCAGACACCTCTGCACAGCTGCATTTGGAACACCAAGTGTCAAAGATGCAGGAGATGCAGCAGCACGTTCTGTGATGTTTGCTCGTCTTCCTCACGCAGCACACGGAGTGGGCCCAGCCCAGTCAGTCCCTCGGGCATGGTCTGATCTTAAGCTGAGAACAATTCACCAATACCCCTTCAGCTGGCAACAGGATGCTGAGCTAGTGCCAATCCCTTGCCCCAAAATCATGCTCTATACCATCAGCACCACTGAGGTGCATCAGGCAAAGCAAAGACTAGAACTGGAGAAAAGAAGAGTGGATAGATGCCATGTATTCCAGGTCTATATATGTGCCATAAAACATTTTCCTGTGAAAACACCACGAGTTTTGAACTGGCCACAGAATTCCAGCCTCCACCTCCTCATCACAATTTCTATACCTCGGCTGTGCTGACACAGAGGTAGGTGGCTTTTCCTGTTCAATGTACTGGCAGAGGAAATAATGCAAATGCAGTCAGGAAGAAGCAATTTATAAAAAAACAAAAACAAGCACTGTTGTTCATGTTATTTTTACTTCATGTACTTACAGAGAACAAAATACAGAGAGTGAACCTTTGCTTGATTGTATCAATGCAGGGCAAATACTTATTTGCATACAATCTGCAAATCTTCCAGCTGCCTTTTTTAGTACTCTCCCAAAAGAAAAAAAATTGTAAGAATTTGTTAATTTGTTAGAAAAAAGTGAAAGAAGTTGCAAACTTGTAAATGGTCTCATATGGGGAAAAATCACTTGGAACAACCCCAGTTTAATTGACTATTTAATAAAAATCTGACAAACTTCCATTTTACAATAGAAAAAAAAAAGAATTTGAAAAAATTTTAAAAATCATCCTATGTCAAGCATATTGAAGTTTGATATATCTTCTTTTCTTTAGATAAATATACCTGAGCCTGTTGTCAAGGCTGTGCTTCTCCATTGTTGGCTTTAGAGGGTAAAGATCAGATCATATAGCATTATGTCAGGAGTAATAGAAACACTTTTTGCACCTGACTTAAAAACAAAACTACTTAAAGCTACTCTGAATTGAGAAGGACCATTTGATTAATTAAACCAAAAATTTTCTCTCAGTTCAAGAGCTCAGTGAGAACCCTTAATTACATAATCAAAAATTATGTCAGGAAAGAACGTAATGAAAACCTAATTATGCACTTTTTAGTATGTGATTAGTTTTAAGTAGGTGGGTATGATTGAGGAAGAGCAAAAGAGAGGAAATATGATTAAAGAAGTGAATCAGACAGTGGAAAGAAAAGAAGTATCAGAGGAGTGAGTAATAGCAAATACAGCCTTCACCCAGAGTGTCTTCCAAAATTGAATGTTTTGACTTGAATACAGAATGTATGAAATATCACATGCTTCCTCTTCAATTATATGTGTTTAGGATTTGACACAAATCTGAAACCTATGAAAAGGAAATAAGCTGCATTTCCAATTAATTAATGAGTTCAGTACCAGGAATATTTTCAAAAAGTTTTGTCCATCTCCCTGGAGCTCATGGGAAGGCTGCAACTCTCCCTTCTCACGGTGTTGTCCCTCTGCCAAGTGAGACACTGATGTAACATTTCACAAAAGCTTGTGTGCAGGTGCCATGATACAGTTTACAGTATCTCCCTCTTCTCAAATCCAGAATCCTTTATGGCACGAAGCGGTGTTAACCTTCAGTTTTCTCTAGGATATTAAGGTTATCAAGTAAGTGGGGACATCAAGGAGAAGCACAACCTCAGTCACTGCTGTCTCATCCCACTCACAGGTGGCCTAACAACCCCACAGGTAAAATCTGAGTCTCTGCCTGAAAACTTGTGTGACACTGTGGGGGCCCCTTTGAGTGGGCTCTGTTTTGCACATGCCCACAGCACTCTTGGGCAGCCACTTCAGGCCATGCATTTCAGTTTCCCTGATTTCAAATGGATGTAATGCTTATGTCCTTCTACCACACACCATATGTCTAATTAAGTGCTTTCAGAGTTTAACTGAATGTGTGTATTATATTTTCTTCTAATCACAGAGAATTCCATCCACCCTTCCTAGCAATTTTTTTCTTTGTTCGTCATGTTCGCTCTAAAGCCTCTATCTGTTCCAAGTCACTCTGCTGTCAAGTTACCTGAGCATCTTTATCTTAAACCTATTTTTAGGCTGATGTTAAAAAGAGAAATGCAAATGCTCCACTGGCAGTCTAGGTTCCTGAAGATTGGGAAGCTAAGAAATTATTTTTGCAAAGCTGACTGCAAACTACCTCCATATATCTTGCTTGAAGATTAATAATGTGTAAAAATCAAAAGGATTAGTTCTTCACTAGAATAAATCAGCGGTGGCTTTAGCAAAATCAGTTATCTGCAATGAATTATATAGGTACAAGTGAAAGTTGGTTAATGTCTGCTGCACACAGGCCAGACCTGATTTTAACCAGACACATGGAAATCTCTATTAACTACATTATTTTGACTGAAGTTTCTAGAATTACTCTGTATATCTACAGATGCAATGTTGGAATTTAAATTAGCTGCTGACATTCAATAAAAAGGAGTTGGGGTTTATTCTCTGTTCAGCAGCAGCATTTCCATGCAAACACCTTGTGTGTCAAAGAAGGATTCAATAGGAAATATGCTCATTTAATATGCTAATTACATACTCTTTGTCTTTAAAATAAAAGTCTGCATCAGCAACTAATAGAATCTTCATTCAAAAGTAAGGATTACATGCATGTCTGCAATAATTTGGACTTTGCCAAAATGAATTTTCCTACAGCCAAAAGAAAGCACTTTATAAAAAAGAGTGAAAAATCTTCCTTTAATTTTAATTTCCAGTCACAAGTAACATCCTTGTTAAAATCCTTATGCAGTAAGGCTTTCAATACTGCCACTAAAGCTAGAGGAGTGTTTTGAAGCAATGTAGCTTGTACACCGTGGTGACAAAAAGGCAATTGTCCTCCAGCGGTGGAGGCATCGCATCGGCAAACATTCTGCTTGGGCTGTGATAGGCTCCTGTCTCAGCACTTGCTACGGAAATGAAATTCTTATTGGATTTTTGAGGAAAACACTGGAGACAGAGATAGCAAATTAACAGCTTTAAAACTATCAACTTTCTCACTCAGCCACAGGGTGGGGGCGTAGCTTTGGTGATGGTGTTTTTTCCTAACAGGGTGTATTGTTATTTAATTAGGATATTTTAAAAGAAAGTCTTGCCGCCTGCCTCTTGCCCCAAACAGAAAAAAAAACAAAACCATTCGATGATTTTAAACAAGAGATAAACTGGATACAAAATGAGTAAATAAATGGAAATGACTTTCAGAAGAAAATGAAAGGTTAAATGTAAAGAACTTGAAAGAAACCCAGTGAATTTAGAATTTAATCTGACCTTCTAGAGATTCTGGTTCGCTGTCCATGTCCCAGACGCGCTCTGCAGGGCTCTCCGCAGCCCAGAGCGACAAGGCCGTTCCCACATCTTCTCTCCCCTTTTGAACCACGGTGTTTCAGCCTGACTCGGAGTGAGGGAACGCTTGTCGCTGATGAGGATGCAGAAAGTGCTACCGCAGGGCATCACGAGAGCCATGGTAACCGCACACCTGGACCCAAGACTACCTCATTAGGAGACATGGGGAAATAAAATATTGACATTTAATAAAGACAATTTCCACACCTAGGGCTGAAAGCATTTGAGATATTTTCTTTACACTACAGACCTGCAGCCTGCTGTAACTGTGTCTTGACCCAAGAGCTGTTTTTTCATTCCATGTAACGTGATATCCATGAAGCCTTGAGATGGTAATTGGGCGTGTTAGACTTATTCCTGAATAGAAAAATTAAAAACCAGAAAAATTATCAGTGAGAAAATAAAAAAGCCCATGTTGAGATAAAAAAAGTTCAAGAGATATTTTGGTTTAGCCAGGGGAAGATGGCAATTATTACATTATTTGTTACATTTTGTTTTGCTAAGTTTACTTTTTAAGGTAGTATATCCAATAAGTGTCTCTATTATTATGCCTCTTAGGAGTTCACATTATTAACATTTTTAAATCTTCCTCTTGAAACCATTTTCCCTAATTAAAAGGAAAAGAAAAGAAAAGAAAAGAAAAGAAAAGAAAAGAAAAGAAAAGAAAAGAAAAGAAAAGAAAAGAAAAGAAAAGAAAAGAAAAGAAAAAGTATTTGTAGTCTGCCAAAAGCCTGGCAGTGTTCTTGTGATGGAATGAAGATATTTGGGAGAATCTCCACCATTATGAACCTAGCCTTCTGGGAATGGGAGGAGTAGTGCTGAATTGCAGCACTCAGCCTGGTTTAGTGTCAGTTTGCCCTGTTCATCTCTGCCCTTATGCTGGACACTCACTTTGCACAAGCAGTTGTAAATAACTTAAAGCCTCTGCGTTTTGGATTTACAGCGATGAAACCTGCTTTTGCATTTATTCTTTGTTGGTATGGAAGTCTGTGATTCCTTATTTCTGCCCGTTTGTGTCTATTGTGCCGTGTGCGTTTCTGTGTGACAACGGCGGTGTCTGTGCGACCCCAGCTTAGCGGTGGGCCGGGTCGGGCCTGCAGGGCTGGGGCCAAGTCCCTGCTCGTGCGGGAAGCTGCGGTGTGTTTACCGCGCTGTGCTGTGTTCGTGTGCCGTGGGGCGAGCCCCGTGTCCGGCCGCGCGGTGTGACCGTGCTGTGAGGGCCGAGTGACCGCGCTGTGTGACCGTGCTGTGAGGGCCGTGTGACCGCGCTGTGTGACCGCGCTGTGTGACCGCGCTGTGTGACCGCGCTGTGTGACCGCGCTGTGCGGGCTGTGCAGCAACTCCACACACTGTGAAATGCGGGGGGCAGAGGGTGAGGTGTGCGGGGTCTGCAGCGCACGGGGGTGAGGGAGTGCTGTGGGAGGAGATGGGGGAGTGCGGATGAGAGGCGATGCGTGAGAAGGGCTGCATGCGAGCAGGACACGCGGCTGTGTGTGTGCTGGACGCGGAGCCGAGGACATGCGACTACCAGGGTGTGCGGGACGAGGAGATGACAAAGCCGTACTGCCCTCGCTGTCGCCCCGCCCCGCTGCCCTCCGCCGGCCCCCGGGGCCGAGCTCCGCCGCCTGCGCCCGCCCCGTCCCTGCTTCCCCCCCGCCACCGGGACTTCCCTTCGCGCTCTATTCGGCGGTGCCGCGCCGCTAGCCCGGCATGTCCCGCAGCCGGGCTTCGCCCAGCGCCCGGCTCCTGTAACGCCTCGGCCCGCGGGCGAGGCAGGGCCGAGGGGGCCATGGGGGGCTCCTGAGGGAGCGGGGAGCGGAGCGCCCGGCCCGCGCCGCCACCATGGAGCCACCGCCGCCCCCGCCCGGCGCCCCCAGCGCCGCCGAGCCCGCCGGCTGCCCCAAGGACACCGACCGCCAGCTGCGCCTCCGCCTCTGCGTCCTCAACGAGATCCTCAGCACCGAGCGCGACTACGTGGGGACCCTCTGCTTCCTGCAGTCGGTGAGTGGCACCGCGGGGCTGGGGAGCGCCCTCGGGGCCACGGCGGGGTCGGGCGGGCGGCCGGAGCGGCTCCTCCCGGCGGCTCCTCCCTGCGAGGGGGCTGCGAGGGCGGCGGGGCGCAGGCTGTGGAAGTGCCCGCCGCCGAGCGGGAGTGTGTGCGGAGAGGGCCGGGCCGGGCCGGGGCCGCCAGAGCCGCCGTTCTCTCCCCCCCGGCGCGGAGCGCGGGCAGCGCCGGCCCCGGCCCCCCAGCGCTCCCGGCCCCGCGGGCGGCGGGAAGCGACCCAGGAGCGGCTCTGCTCTCAGAATGCCGCGTCCCTTTGCTTGTTGTTGCTGCTCAGAAGTTGCTTTTACACTCACTTGGAAAATCTACTCTTACTGTCAGTTGTTTATAAATAAATGTTGTACGTGTATCTTTGTTAAATGGTAAACATAAATTTGTGATTGTGCCGGGTGTGTCTGTGCATGTGGAAGCAATTATACCTGCCTCTGAAATTATTCACGGGCTAGTTCAGAAGAAAAAAAATCCATCTGGATATTTCCATTTTCCTATGTAGGTTCTAAATGTGGAATTCATCTGTGTACCACCACACTCCTGCAAATAACTAGAAAAGCATGTAGTAAAAGTTACTAGATAACAGATAGATATAGATATAAAAGAAAAACTAGTGATCACACAGTGATCAAGAATCAAAGCAAAGGAAGTCTCTGCAGAGATTTCTAAAAGATTGTTTCTTAAAGGGCAGAAATTATTTCTGGTGTTTTTCTAGATAAAGACTAAACTCTGGTTTCATCTAAAAGCACTTAGACCCTGGTCCCCTTTTGACCTGTCCTTCTTGCAAGATTTTTGTTTGTTCGTTTTTTAAAATTAGTTTGTCTTCAGTGTTTTTCAGATTCACCAAAGTGGAAAACTGTCTAACATAAAAGATAAATGACAAGGATGTGGTTGCTTTATGAACTAGTCTCTACTTGAACCCTCCTCTTCTCTCTCCAGTAATTGAACTCCGAGCCTTTAATTTGAGTTTTCCAACTGAAGTGCCAGTTAGCTTCATTTAGAACTGTGGTTCTGTCTCAGTGTAAGGAGGTTTTCTTCTAGGATGTAGAAGAGCCCCACCCTACAGATGAAACAAAACAAAACCAAAATCCCTCAGAAAACTCCTCTGTCCTAAGTACTGAATTTGAGGTTTTGTTAGCTGCAGGCTAGAATGTAGATTCAAGCTACATATATTTTTAATTCCAGTTCTTACAGCTAAATGTATTCATAGTGTTAGCTAAATGGGTTTTTCATGTATTAAAAAAACAAAGCAGGTCTTTTATTTATTTGTATTTGTTAACTTGGCAGTTTTCATTAGAGCAGTAGTGAGTAATATGCCCTAGGTAATGGCAGGAGAAGATCCTGATGGAGCGCACTCGCTGGGTCTTGGCTGGCTGCTGGCAGTTAGAGCCCTTCTGAGGCACTTTGCCACCAGGTGCAGAGCGGCTGTAGTGTTATCTTGTGGTGCTGCTTCTGGAAGTGCAGCTTTACCCCCCTACGGAATTTGTGTTTCAGCAATTATATTTGAATAAAGCTCCAGGGGATAGGATCTTCTTCATCTCTGGGCCTTAGTTTAGAGCAGCATTCATACACAGGCTTAACTTCGTGCACATGTCAAATATTCATGTGCTGTCCTAAATAATGTCAGTTTCCTCAGTCATTGACCTACATCTTATGGACTGAATCTCTGTACAACTGCTTTCTTATAGCTGAGTGTTGTTAGCCCCAAGGAAAGGAGAATGAGGATCTACTGCAGCATGTGAGGGTAAAAGGAGCAGTAGCGGGATGAAATTTTTAAAAATAAAATTTGGAGTGTGAAATATTTTCTGCATAAATTTTGTGGATGGCCATAACTTAATCTTTCTAACAAGACAGCCCACAAGAAAGAATTCTTCCCCACCTCCCACACTGGACAGCCAACACAACGTGCGAGGATAACATCATCTATATAATCACTGGGATTAGATGCAAAAGTTTTGCTTTAGGATACAGATGAAAGTACTCCTGTAGCCCTGGGACTGTATTCTCAGCTGTGCTTGGCCTCACAGGAGGCCACCCAGCTTGTGTTTGTTGGCTCTCCTGAGCGTGCTGGCACCCCTGCTCAGGAGCCACCCCTCCTGCCCCTGGATCGCTGTTTCCCAGCTCGTGTTCTGTGGGCAGCACCTACCCAGTGCAAAATAAACGTACACCCTTATCCTGCCTGGGGTGATGTACCAGGTAAACACTCCAGTGTCACTGGCAAGGTCAGTTGTTTTGTCCTTAGTGTGAATTGTACTGGAATGGTTTGTACTCCATATGATCCAGGTGTAATTTTGGCTGCCCTGAAAGACCGCTGTTTTGTGCAGAACTGCAGTACCCCAATCTTCTGGAAACTTGTTCCTGTCAAAAAGGAGATGAGACAGATGTGGGGTATGGGTTCCTTTGCCTAAGAAGCATCAATAGCTTGACTTGGGTTAAATAAAGGAAGGCTAAAGCTCATATCTTTTATTATCATAATGAATTTCCCCCAAGTAGGCTGGGACAGCTGTGCTTGTATGAGGGAATCTGTGCTCTTGGTTAAATATTTGCTATTGAAGCCCTAGTCCTCATTAAGTGTTCTCAATAAACAATGTTTTAAAAAGCAAATAGCTAAATTCTATGGGTTTATTCACAGCACTGAAGATGCTTGCTAGCAGCAGCTTCCTGTGTTCCCTGGTAATGTACAAGAATCTCTTAAGTATTTAGAATCTTGTAAGTATTTAATGCTATGGGTTTGCAAATGAATCAAAATAACCTCAGTTCACTTATAGTATTTTAATCTGTTTTAGGAGATGAATATATGATCATGTTTAAGGAAAGGTTTCCTTTTTCTTTTCTTTTTCTATGTTCAGAAATGTTTTCCCGCTAAGGTGCAGGGGAAAATAGGTTCATTATTAACATAAGGACTCAACCCTTATTTGCTTTACCTAAAAGATTGTGGTCCATATTTTGCTTTCATAAATTAATAAAGTGAGTATGTAAAGTTTAATATAAAGCATAATTAAAGTTATAATTAAATAATTAAAGTGATAGAACATGGACTTCTACCTCTATTCTACCAGCTCAGAGCTGATGACCTGAAGTTACTGATTTAGTTACGAATATACACACACGATATGGTGTCCTGTTTTATTTGCCATTTTGTTAAGCAGAGATGGTATTATTGCTAATTATGGAATTATTCTTGAAGAAGTACTGTGTAACTCAGGAGTACTAATAGACAATACTGCAGTTATGCACTGTGTTACTGGCTGTACTAGTACATTAAACAGACAAACTTTTTAAGCAGCAGAGAGAACTGCATGGCGCAGATGGAA